AAAAGCCGTTATACATTATTAATTTCAGATTCAGGTTGACTCTACTTCATTCGCACATTCAGGTTCGAAAAAATAACTTTACTGTCCCAATGTATCGCTATAAGACATTTGTTGCAACAAACACTATACATACTGTATGTATGTTCGTGTGTGTACGGCTGTTTGTGTCTAGCAATTAGTAGTATGGTTAGGCTGGCTTGGTTCGTGCGAGCAGGGGTCGGCAACCTTTTGAGACGGAAGAACCAAAAGCTACAATCTACAAAATTTCCCAGACTTTAAAGAGCCACTATCATTTGTATGTGCACTTCGGTAGTAGAAAGCATGGAACCATTGCCACAGAGCTGGCCACAGCATAGTTGTGGGGCTGGGCATAATGCCTTATGCCCAGCGACTGTCAGCTGTCCATATACACTCTACTACACCTATTCTCATTGTTTTTTAATTGTGTTTAAAGTTTTTGTTTTTTTAGTATAATTTTTTTTTAGTTTCTATAACAAAAGAAAATAGTATTATTAAACTAGAGAGCCGCATATTTTCATTACAAAAAAAAAACGCATGCAACTCGCGAACCGCAGGTTACAGACCCCTGCGTGCAAGTAGTTTGGTTAACTTTTTTTTTTTTTTTTTTTTTTTTTTTTTTTAGTAATTAACACAAGAAATCATGAATAAGTTTAATGAGAAACAAATAGTACATGATTAATAATAAAGAATTCGTTTTATAAACGCGATATTATCTTACATAGTTATGACTTTCGTAATTTAATTAAAAATATTATTTATATAAATATCAAAACATTTTTAAGGTAAGACAAAACAAAACAAAATCAACAAGGATTTACATAGGATGTATATTTCAACTGGGGTATTGGTTTATTTATTCTTTTGATAACATTTTTTAAAGTTGTTTCCCTTCTTTCGTTTAAACTATAATACGGGATATAACAAAAATAAACCAATATAATACACATGTATCAGGTACAACATTGCTGTGTTGTATAGAAGAATTAAGATTTATGTTTACGAGAAAAGGGTGGAGCATTGTAAGAAAGGTTAATTTATTTTACTTTATTGAAGGTAGACCTAATTTCCTAAATAGAGAAGCTACATATTTGAAACTATGTGAGTTTTCCAACTTGTTAAAAAATAGTAATCATACTAATTAAATAATATATATATATCGCAATTAATATGTATGTCGAAGTGAATAAAATAAGTAGTTTAATATGTTCAAATTTTTTTTTATTATTTTATCTGTTTATCGTAGAACACCAAGCTGATCAATATTTAAAAAAAAAGGAAAGATATATTATAACAGTTTCCGTCCAATAATATTGATTTCATATTTATTTTGGCACCCCCAAAAATAGTTTTTTTTTTAAATACTGCATGGGTACTAAAGTAGTCAAAAAATTTAAGTTTATATTAAGTGACAATAGCGAGACGGCAGAGTTTAGTAACACTTTATATTGAAAAAAAAATTAATATTTGTATTTTCACAAAACTGGGATTTAAATGTTTACATCGTTTTAATTTTTTACCAAATCTCAACCATAGGAAATACAATTGATCAGTACAGTGATTAGTGGAGATCTACATCAGGATGTAAACTAGATGGAGGTGTAGTTGAAATAATAAAACACTTCACATCTTTAAATTCTAATACTATCATAATCCATAGATTATCCTAATCATATCGTATTGTTTCGTCTATTCTACTACTCTACTATTCTATTTTTATTGTATTCGAATGTGTACAAGGATGGCGTGATCAAGCGTTAGTGGACTAGCCTCGAGTTCGAATCCGAGTTCGAGTAAGACTTGAGTCCATCCAGCTTTGATGGGTACCTAACCATGGGCGGCTGGACATAGTGATATCACCCTCGTTAGGAAATAAAGGTGGCTGGGTAACCCAGGTTAGGTAAATACAAGCTGCTGGGTATTACACAATAATCGAGGTTAGGAAATAAAGGAAGCTAAGTATAATACTTTGCTTTATTTAAAAAAAAAATGAACGTTATAGTGTTCAGAAGCATCTGTATTGAAATGGAAGTTGTCTTTAAGGTAATCTTTTAGGTTTGCAAATACGTGTAATAATGTATGACATAATTATTTGAAACTTTTGGAACATATTATAATGTTGAATACAATAAGTAGTTTGATATATTCATATTAAAAATATGTATTTTTATCAGTTTATTAAAAACATTAGGTAAATAAATTATTAATTATTTTTAATACTGCATTGATACAGAAGTAGTCAAACATTACTTTTATATGGAGTGACAAGATCAAGTTTCCAGAGTAAAGTATCAGAAATCACTGGAGCAGACGGGTGAACTGCTTTTTGATGAATGTACACTAGAAAATCGCGAATGAATGATCACAAACATATTATTCTTAATATGATTCACAAAATCTAGTATTTGAACCCTTGACCACTCACATCCGATTTGATAAATAAACGCCTTGGCCTAATACATTGGATGTATATCAACACGAATGGTAAAATATTGTAGGCCATGTCCTATTTGAAATGGTGATTAAAACAAAATAAACGACGCTAATTTCAACTTGTTCAGAATGTACAACATCAATTTGCAAATGTTAAAAGTATGTATGTAAAAGCCTTTTTAATTTTCAAAAAAAAATATTACTCACGTTAATAAACGATTATACTATTTAAATTAAACTAAAATCACGATTATATTAAACTGTTTTGGAAAGTAAATTAGTTTAAAAAATCACAACGACTTGTATTTACTAGGTGCCATGTAAAACATCATAAACGCACGGTGCATCTTTAGCCATTTATTTTTTGTAATTTTGGGAGTTTTATAAACTAAACTTTTTTTTAGTAAAATACGCTGTGTAAATTCAAACTGCACATTTTTAAAAAAAACGTAATGCTATTAGAAACGATGAATAATTAAAACTGGGTTGAAATTCCGTGCCGTTGGGGTTTGGGAGGGGTAATGTCCTTCTACCTTGGAAGCCTTCGAGCTACTTCTTGAAGCTCAATGCAAAGATCATCAGCAGTAACACCTTTCTTAGCGTTATGCGTCAACAACAACAACGTCCCAATATGTTTGCAGTCAGTTTTTGTTGATAATGTATACATCACAAATATAGCAACATGCTATTAAAACAATTAACATCAAACATATATGTGGTGACATAATTACATAGTAGAATATTCAATACATAATTAATTTACATTGATGTCATTAAAGTTTGTACATTAGTAAATACAAGAAGAAAAGGAAAAACAACAGAAAATCGAAAAAGCAACACTATCAACTTGGACACTTTGCGCAGAAAGTAACTAAAACCTTTGTTAGGATAACGCGACTAGATCTAGTCTATATCTGTACATTATTTTCCAAAATATTTTCTTACGTTTGATATTTTTTAAATAAAACTTTTATTTGCAATTAAAACAGGTATATCTAATCCTTTTTTTTCGTAATTTCGAACAATTAAAGCTAAAGGTTTTGCAAATGTACATAATAAATATTTACATGATGTCATGTATGTGTTTATAAAAAAAATTGAAAGGGATAACAGTAAAAGGGGTGAAGGTCAAATGAAAGTGTCAGGACTCCAGGTGGGGAGTGGAAAGGAAATTGTTCAAAGAGAAGGGGGGGGGGTCAAAGTGACAGTGTAGCTTTTTCTATGTAGGGAAACAAAATGTGTTAACCAGTTGAAAGAGTGTTTATTTACATACGGGTCGCATTGAGTTTTCAAAGGTTGCTGTGTGCAAGATGAGGGGAAAGAAGCAAGATTTAGAACTTTAAGTAAGTAAATGAATAGATATTCGAGATTGATGTTGGGGTGGGTGGTGGGGTCGTTGGAACAATTAAGGGGGATGTGGGGTTATCATGCCTGAGGGTGAAGTGGACAGAGAGGGAGGGGGGAGATGTGTCTGAGGAGGCGTGGAGAGGGTGACTGTGTGTGTTTAAGGCAAGCCAAGCGTCAAAGCCTGTGCTGTGTGATGTATCTGCTGAGGTGATACTATTTATAATGTGTGTGAATCAATTATCCACTTAAAATGCCAACAATAAAATAGACCAAACCCTGTTTGATATAAATTTGTCTTATATAAATTTTATTTTACCTTTTAAAACTATAGGCTTTAATTTTTTTATTTAAGAAAAAATTCTATTTGTTTTAAAGTATAAAACTTGTTATACTATAAAATATCATTATATTTAGTTAATTCCATTAAAAATTATATTAATTTCAATTTTGTGCACGTTTTTTTAAGTATAATCTATAAAATGTATATTTTTAAGGACTTTTAAGTATATTGTTGTGTAGTCTCCCCTGGTAATTTAAAATTTACAAATCGAAATCATTTTAAAAGTAAACATTTTTTTTTAAACTTTCAACTTTGGCGTCAACTCGCAGCATCTAGGTTGTTGGCTGGTACAAAAAAAACGTATTTATGTATTTGTATATCATCAATACATTTAAAATAAATTGATTAAAAACATGTGGAAGAACAGCTATAGATATGTTTGAAAATGAAGAATGTTTGATTTTAAGTGAAAATATTCCGGCTTCTGTAGTATTTAGAATGTTTTTTTTTTATCCCAAATTTCTTTCCTCTACAAACCCCCTCAAACCACCATGCCGATAAAAACAATCCATTGAATCACCATTTAATTACACATTTGCATTTTCACGTTTAAAAACAAAATTGTAATTAGGCGTTTTGTATTATGTAAACCATCTAAAATGAATGAGAGTAAGAAGGAAGTATTATGAATGTTAATCTGTATCAGTCCTCACAAGCCGTTGATGAAAACTGTATTACTCAAGCGAACATGACAAGGCAAACTGACGCTGTAAATTACATGTCTGAGGTAAAAAAAAAAAAAAAAAAAAAAAATCTTCTGTCATTGAATCACACTTTATTTGTAATGTTACATTTGAATATAACATAAATTGTAAAATAAGTAAATGTTGAGATTGCTAAACAATCTGTCACTGTTAAAACCATGTTAGAATATTTGGGTTTGGGTCAGGATGAAAATGAACCTGTTCCACTACCTAATGTTAATGCTGCTATATTAAAGAAGGTAATTCAATGGTGTACCTTCCATCGGGATGACCCTCCACCACCTGAAGATAATGAAAACAAAGAAAAAAGAACAGATGATGTTTGCTCCTGGGATACAGAATTTCTTAAAGTTGACGAGGGCACCTTGTTTGAGTTGATTTTGACTGCCAACTACGTAGATATCAAAGGCTTGCTTGGTGTAATAAACTATTTGCACTAGAAAGTTTGATACATTTTAAATATTATTTTGTTACAATAATAATAAATAAAATGAATAAGGATTTACAAAATTGTTTTACTACAACTGGGGTATCGGTTTTATATAATTTTGGTTTCCCATATGTATTTAAAAATACTTAGATGTGAAGTAACTAATAAAAAATATATTTACCACTATCCAGTTACAGTATGTTGTTTCTTGTAAGTACTTTCATTGTGTACATAAAGAAACAACAATGGTTGCTTAAGGAATTTTATCTAAAGAATAACTCATGTGTTTTAAATTTTCAGAATCTGTCACTATTAAAACCATGTTAGAAGATTTGGGTATGGATGAGGATGAAATGTTTAACACTATCCAGTTACTGCAGTGCCGCAGTACAACTCACGCTAATACTATACGTATATGATGTACATTATAATATTATTACAACATGACTATATATAAGCAAAGTGTGATATTAACACTGTAAGAAATATTCACAAGAAAATGTAGATCATTGAAAGAAGATACATTTGTTTCAATGTATTGATATAAAACTCTAATTGGTAGATTTTTTTTTAATTTTTTTAATTTTTTAACTTTAACACGTCACTGAAGTTTCTAACTGTTGACTTTACTCTTTAAATAGTGTAGGTGAGCTAATTGTATGTTAAAATAGATAGCTTTTGTTGATCTTGAAGCGACTCAGTTAATGTTCAATAACTTTTATTTTTATTTTGGTTCGAAACGTTTGTGACTGTTGTGTTAAAATCATAAACATAAAATTGCATGTTAATATCAAAATATTAATAGTTTGTCTATAGTAAAAATTATTTACAAACTGTTTACCATCCCATATTAATTAAGTATTTAGCTTATTAAAATTATAATCTAACTGATAAGAGAGATAATGTAGTGAGTATGCATTTTGCGTGTGTAAAAAAAATGTGTAACTAGTCACTAAGAGTTAGATATACGGGTAAGTCGTCGGGGTACTTGCACGTAATTTAAAAAATATGTACTTTGCCTATAGGGTTTAAAAATAGTGATTATTATATTTATATTTATAAAAACCCATCGTCCCAATAATATGGTCAAAAATATTACAGTATGGTCACACAAACCGTTAAGTAAGCCAACTTTGTCCCTGGTTTAACTCTAACATAAATAGTAAAACGCTAATCCTAACATTCAATCTTCTCACATTAACATTATTACTGCCCTTTCTTTAACGCTAACGATAAATTACAAATCAACAAAGCGATTTAACTAAAACCAAATCTAATCCCAGATTTAACTTAACAATAACGCTGTTCTTTAATCCCCGCTCAGGATCTAAACGGAGACCAATAGCATTAGTGATTATTCCACGGACCTCTACACTTATTATTTAATTTATGCATGATATCTCTAAGTCGTTTTTCATTTCTGGCTCATGAATACGTACCTGGATGTCTGCATCGATTTTATTGTTGCACAAATACACACATATTAATCACTTGCGTAGCGAGTTTGGGTGTCACCCGGTGCGGTCCGCACCCCCCACCCCCCGCCCCCCTCCCCCCTCGCTACGCCTCTGATCTTAATTTATAATGATATAACAAAATATATCAACGCATTCCTGAAGAAAATATTCGTGAGACTTAACACTAAAATACACCCGTACATACACCATTAAAAAATTCATTTACGCTTTGTATCCTCTTTAAATTTTGCATTCGGTTTCACTATCACCTCTGAAGATAGCTTTAAATTGTTCACAGTTAATATTGACGATGTGTATATATTGTCGGTTAGTAATACAGCTGGATTTAGCAATGTTTATTTCTATATTTAGCAGGTGTCATACCCCATCCCCTTGTAGGGATTATTAATTTATATTTAAAATAGTTTTTTTTTTTTACTCTGATTTACCATTAGTTTAACTGAACAAAGTATTTTTACTCTTATATTTTGCAATTATTTATCTTGGTGTCACCCCCCCCCCCCCGTTATCGGTGTCACCCAGTGAGATCCGCACCCCCCTCCCCCCGCATCGCGACGCCTCTAGTTAATTGTTTGTTATCATTAACGTACCTATCCCCCTACTGATAAATAAATTCAAATATTAATGTATAATTATTGCCTGGGGATAAGCTCCAACTTCCCCGTTGGATGGATAAGCTCCCACTTAACGGTGGGGATAAGCTCCAACCTCACGGTGTAGATAAGCTCCAACTTCACGGTGGGGATAAGCTCCCACCTCACGGTGGGCATAAGCTCCCACTTCTCAAACAATGCCCCTAACATCTCACGTCACTAAAAGCTTCTGACAACCAGATCCATCTCCTGACCTTCACACTTGGCCCAGTCTCTGAGCCTGACGAAAAACCGTTGTAAACTAATATTACTGGAGGAGGGGGGGGGGGGGGTAATATCATGATGATTGTAGCTTTTTAAAGCTGTCTCCAATATAGTAATGGTATGGTTACGGTATTGTTTTAGCGTCAGACAAAGGTAGTCCAATAAAATAAACTCAGGTAGATGGACATGTACCACGATCTAATCGTCTATAAAAAAAAAACCTTCATGCGGGGCACTTGACATAAGGGCGGATGCGAGGAAGGCATTGGCGTATTTGGATGGAGGACTTCAAGGAGTTGACTCGGCTGGCCTTTAGAGAATTTTTTAAACCATCAGAAAACTGAAAAAGATGGCAGAAAAAAAAAATAGTAGAAATATTTTTTTTTAGTTTTAAATAAATTTATTAAACAAGAGTACCTTTAAAAATTCTTAGTTATAATGCCATGTCGTTTAGCGAGTCTAATCAATGAATCATCAGATTCACCCATTCGTCTGATTGCCCCACAGATAGCATGTCTTGTAAGATCCAGTCATACGGCCTGTAGTATCATCAACCTCTGTAATTTTGATCTGGATAGAAGCATGATCCTTGGCACTAATGATGCGGTTACTGGCAGAGAATTTGAGAGGAATTAACAGATCCAAGAATTGTCCTGTGTAGTTTGGCATGATGATGAAATCTTTTTAAGGATCTCTTGGTGTAGCACGGAAGCCAAAAATAATGAAAAGGAAAAACGATGTGCGCATGTGCGAGTAAAACTCAAATTGCATATGAGAAAACTTTGATTAACAGGCAAGAGAGCTAATGGATTGTATTGTGAAAATAAAATAATTTTCCTATGACTAACGCTTACGTGTCTAATAAAATCAATGGTTTTAGAATTTAACTACAAGAAAAGATTATATTTGTTTATTGAAACATATTAAAATGTAGAAACAAGTTAATTAAAAAAGTCTAGTGACATTTGTGCGCAATTTCCTTATGTTATCTAAAAATAGCTCTGACGTATAATGTTGGGGTGCGTTCAAGCTAGAAGAACAATCGGTTTGTAGGTGTTTATGTAATTTTAAAATTTGTGACCGAACGAGAGAATATTTTTGAAAACTTTCTTCGGCAATATTGTTCTAAATTATGACAGGAATCGATTGGTACATGTTTCAAGTCGCTAAGTGGTCTGGTTGCCGAGATATGGGCCAAAAACTGAATTTTTTTCGAGGTTTTTTGGCTTTTCCGGGAAATACATGAAAGAAACCCGGAATTTTTATGGCCTATGCTCATTCTCGTAACTTGCTTAACATAATTGCTTTTGGAACTATTCATCGATATTGCTTCGTTGAGGAGGAGATACGACTTAAAGCCCGGACACACATTCATCCATCCATCCATCCATCCATTCCCAGAAATGACGAGTTAATAAACGCAATTCTCCAGAATGGAAATTGCGCTAAAAAATTTTTACAAGAAAATTTGTTTTTAAATTAAAAAAAAAATAAATAAAAAAAATAATAGATGAACGATGTGTGTTTAGCAAATGAAACTAACTCTATTTACATTACTATTAAGAACTTAGTTGTGTTTCCTCCCCTGGTAATGTACAATTTACAAATAAAAGCAACTCATAAACATTTTAAAGTTGAATATGTAAAATATCTCACAAGAGACTAAAGCTTTTTATGAAAGAAAGCAAATAAGTTTTATTTAATTTTTTTTTTTTTAATTTCAGTGCTTTTAAAATCGTATCGCTATAACGGCTTTTTAATTCGTTTCATTAAAATATTTTTTAATCCTATTTTTGTTTGTTTGTTATTTATGATTTTATTAAAAGATAAAACTGTACACATTAGATTTGTGCCAGATGTGATGACCCCCTCTCCGACATATATCGTTTATGTATATATTCATCTCATCTAAATTATTCGCACCCCCACTGTTTTTTTAAATAACTTTAAAGACGACAAACCTATACCGATCTAGTAGTTTATCACTAGTTTATGTACATTATCATTAGTTTTGTACACTGACGTCACTTGTTTGCGAAATATTAAGGTTTGTAATATAGAGAGTTTAGTATACCGTGAGTTTAGTATACAATGAGTTTAATGTACCGTGAGTTTAATATACCGTGAGTTTAGTATACCGTGAGTTCAGTATACAGTGAGTTCAGTATACAGTGAGTTTAGTATACCGTGAGTTTAGTTTAGTATACCGCGAGTTTAGTATACGGTGAGTTTAGTATACCGTGAGTTTAGTATACCGTGAGTTTAGTATATCGTGAGTTTAGTATACCGTGAATTTAGTATACCATGAGTTTAGTATACCGTGAGATTAGTTTAGTATATCCTGATTTTAGTACACCGTGAAATTAGTACACCGTGAATTTAGTATACTGTGAGTTTAGTATACCGTGAGTTTAGTTTAGTATACCGTGAGTTTAGTATACGGTGAGTTTAGTATACCGTGAGTTTAGTAAACCGTGAGTTTAGTATACCGTGAGTTTAGTATACCGTGAGTTTAGTATATCGTGATTTTAGTATACCGTGAGTTTAGTATACCGTGAGTTTAGTTTACCGTGAGTTTAGCATACCGTGAGTTTAGTATACCGTGAGTTTAGTAAACAGGGAGTTTAGTATACCGTTAGTTTAGTATACAATGCGCCTGCCTGGCAATGTTGCTAGTTGGTTTACAAACATGTTTGCTAAAGTTTGTAATGAAAGGGGCAGGTAGTCAGAACATGGGTATGTGATTACCTGTTTGTATCATCGGAGAAAGCAATTAAAATAGGAGGAAATAAAGTTAGTTAAACATTAATAAAAGAGAGGCTACTCTTGTGTCCTTCTTAAAACGTCAAATACTCATTTGTTTACCTTGACTGCGGCTTTATATTTTGTTCTAGAGGACAAAAGTTCTGGAAGCAAATAAAAGCGGGCTAAAACAAGTGTTAAGTTTTGTATGCACAGGTTAAGGTTAATCTGTCACAAAAGATAGATATAAGATAAACGGTATATTAGTATTGTAGAAGATTATGTGATATGTTTGGGCTGGGTTAGGATTAGCTAAACATTGCTAGAATCAATGGGTTGGTT